ATAAAGATAATTTGATAATTTGCTAACTGAACGCACCTAACATTTAATTTCTCTTTTATTTCTTTAAAGTAAACGGAAATGCTCATGCGTATAATAGACGAACGGTCCACCCCTAAATAGATGCTTAGAAAATCAAGGTCACCGACCACGCGGAGAGGCCAGGATGAAACTTTTTGTAATCGATGCATTGAGTTATTGCGAACAAAAAACCTAAGTAACATCTTTCTGTCCGAGTGGCAGGTAATTTGTTACTAACAAAAAAGTTGCAAAATAAAAATATTATAAAAAAACGCTCTGCAAACAATTTTCTAATGTAAATTGGGCAAAAATAAACACTTTTTGTCACTTGACATTTTTTCGTAGAACGCTTCCTTTTCGAGCTAGGGGCGATTTAATGTCGAAAAATGGCTAAAAGTTGCCAACTTTAAAAATTCATATCTCAGCTCCTACCAAAGCTTTCGGAACGTTCAAAAGCGCAAAATGATCCTCGAGACTTATACTTTAATGTAGTATTTTTTTTAAACCCGCCCCTTTTTTTAACCCGTTAAATTTGCAGTTGAATTTCGGCCGCTAGTGCCCACGCGCCACCCCTACGTATCGCTATATATAGATATAGCGCTGTCGTGCATATAATCGAATAAACGCTATTCATTCATTACTTGTTACAATTTTTACTATTTAGTATTTCTAACACTCATACATATTTTCAAATTCATCAAATATTGTATATCATATAATTATTTATAAGATTTAATAATATGAATATGATATTTAAATGAAAAATAAATTAATTAAACATTACAAAAAATGCATATATCAAAGGTATTTATTAATACAAAAAAATATATTTACATTTAAATATAAACTTAACTATTTAATAAAAAATCAATTTTCAGTCTCCGAATCAGTATCATCAGTTTGTATTTCTGCATTTTGACATTTTATAGAGCAATTGCAAAGATCGCAAAATTTGAAGCCTTGTGATAAGCAAGAACAAATGTCTTCATCGCTGCAGGGTAACTTTCCACTGCAGGAACATATGAATTTTTGTAACATTTCCATGGCCGTATCTCCTTCAAAATAATTGTAGCACAATACATTATTTTTTAATATCCAGCCATATTGTGTTGGGTCGAAGGATGTTATGCTTGCAGATCTTGCTTGAGACCATTCATTGATTTGCCATTTAACACGCATAACATGTTGTAACAATACAGGCTCTGCCGGAGGTATTGATGATGGTATTGGTATCATGATGATTCGATATTTACTATACTATCATGTACATACTAGCTATTGGGAATAATAAATATTGTATTAAATAACGAATAGCACAAGAATATTTTTCGAAAACTTACCTGCAGTTTTATACAACATTGAATATTCACATACGTTGCATGATTGTTTACAGACTAATAAAGGATTGTTGCACTATGACAGCACAAATGAATATTGTAGAAAATGTATTATTTATTTTTTATACATTATTTGTCAAATGTTCACTGTTATTGCCTGATGCCAGACAATAAACTAATGATCCATGCGACACCCGATCGCTGCAGTCTAATCCATTGCGCTTGTTTAAACAAGTTATAACAAGTAATTCGCATAAGCGCACGTTCGCGAAAACTCGGTTAGTTAATATTTTGGTTGACTATCTATGCGTATCCTTTTATAACATTTTATATTCTAGTTCTAAATAATTTTTTGATATAAATATAGTTATATATAGTTATTATTATTGAAGCTACATTAATGAAGATACAGTTATAAATATAAATCAATATATTTGTAACGTAATACATATTATTTTCCATTTAAATATGATATTCATATTATTAATCTTATAAATAATTATATGATATACAATATTTGATGAATTTGAAAATATGTATGAGTGTTAGAAATACTAAATAGTAAAAATTGTAACAAGTAATGAATGAATAGCGTTTATTCGATTATATGCACGACAGCGTTATATCTACATAATAGCGATACGTAGGGGTGGCGCGTGGGCACTAGCGGCCGAAATTCAGCTGCAAATTTAACGGGTTAAAAAAAAGGGGGCTTGTTCAAAAAAAAATACTACATTAAAGTGTAAGTCTCGAGGATCATTTTGCGCTTTTGAACGTTCCGAAAGCTTTGGTAGGAACTGAGATATGAATTTTTAAAGTTGGCAACTTTTAGCCATTTTTCGACCTTAAATCGCCCCTAGCTCGAAAAGGAAGCGTTCTACGAAAAAATGCCAAGAGACAAAAAGTGTTTATTTTTGCCCAATTTACTTTGGAAAATTGTTTGCAGAGCGTTTTTTTGCAATATTTTTATTTTGCAACTTTTTTGTTAATAACAAATTACCTGCCACTCGGACACAAAGATGTTACTTGGGTTTTTTGTTCGCAATAACTCAATGCATCGATTACAAAAGGTTTCATCCTGGCCTCTCCTCGTGGTCGGTGACCTTGATTTTCTAAGCATCTTTTTAGGGGTGGACCGTTCGTCTATAATTGGCATGTTGCCATGAGAATAAAGAAAAAATTACTACGTACTATTAGAAAAATCCATGAAGCAATGAGAAAAATCAGATACCTATCCTATCGGTCATTTGAATAGTATTTCTTTGATATGCCTAATTCTCTAAACGATTTTTAATTGCGCGTGCGTAAATAATATTTTACCATGGATAAATTTGATTTTCTCTATAAAAATAAAGTAAAGCTTATGGATATATTATAGTTGCTGACTGAACGCATCTTATATCTATACTTCTTACTATTAATTTTAAAATCACAACGAAAAATTTCTGTCATAATAAACATGAAATAAAATTAAAAAAAAAAACTAAACATTTTGGTATGTCTCTAAGATCACGCATTCCACATTGCATTATGTAAATTAAAAATAGTATGTTTATCTAAGCTGTGACTAAAAAATCAAGGTTAAATTAGTTTAATGTAGGTATTTACTTCGTTGGGTCATGTCATGAGATAAGAAACCGTGACCTTTACTCGGCTATATGATTGGTAATACAATTTTTAACCAAAATTCTATTGGACGGGTCATAGTTGTTTTTAAACGACGTCGACTTTGTGGTATCTCGATATCAGGACTATCAGGAGCTTCACAAACTCGTAGTTCGCGTTTGTGTTTGTATAAAGTAGTTGTAAATCAGTTACCTCAGTTGTTAAGTTGTTCTCACAGCGAATATTTTACATCAAAATTTCCTGTTAATCGCACTGTAAAAATGGCATGTACAAAACCAAAAAGAGTTTGTATTGTTGGTAGTGGCAACTGGTAAGTCTTTTACTCTTTTGTTTTTCATTCAACATTTCTTGAATTAGGTATCATAACCTTTAAAAATACTTTTATTTTAGAACATGTTAAGTAATATTACCTTGACATTCTGAATTAATTTTATTAAAATAGAATTTGATAATATAATATTTTAGGGGCTCTGCAATTGCAAAAATTGTTGGGAAAAATGCTGCACAACTTAATAATTTTGAAGATAGGGTTACTATGTATGTTTATGAAGAAATAATAAATGGGAAAAAGTTGACTGAAATTATAAATGAAACACATGAAAACGTGAAATATTTACCAGGCTATAAATTACCCCCTAATGTTGTAAGTGTCAGTTTTACATCAACAATTTTTCTGCATTTTTTCGTAACCATTCAAAAAAAAAATGTGTATTGTAGGTAGCAGTACCTGACGTTGTAGACGCAGCAAAAGATGCGGATATCTTAATATTTGTTGTGCCTCATCAATTTATAAGAACCTTATGCTCAACACTTTTAGGAAAAATAAAACCAACAGCAGTCGCTTTGTCATTGATCAAGGTAAGTTATATATAAATTTCCATTGGTATTTTTATGTGATAGTAAATTGAATTCAAATTTGTTGAAATAAAAATGAAATTAGAAATAAATTAAATATATGTACTGAAAGTTCCAGTAACGTATACAACACATTTTCCACTTACCTACGGACAGATGTATTGCAGTAGCACAAATGTAAATGTTTACTTAGATTATAAATTTAGAAATTATTTTAATACTCTGCCAATTATAATTTAAAAATAACTGGAAAGCATTAGATGTTAATCATACAAAGAAATTTTTATATTATATATAGGCACGTTTATGGACTTATAAAAACGTAGGTAATATTTATACATATATTAATTTTTAAATCATATCTTGTGCTAATTCGCTGCGGTAAATTTTAAAATTTAAAAATTCATTTATTCATTTTAAACAAAACAATTTTTATTTTTGTAAAATCAGAATTAGCTTTAAATGGTATACACAAGGTCCACTCTGGTTAGACCAAAAGCCAGACAACCAATTTAATAACTTTTAAGTCAGAATCTTGAGTTTTATTTTCATGACGTACCAATAGATCTAAAAGACTTTACTAATTGCCTGTAGGTATCTTATAACTACAGCCTAACTAGTAAAAATGCAATAAATACATACAATTTGGTTGGTTCCTCTACCACTTGTTTGGTTCACCAGTCCAATTTAGATCCTATCTGAAGTTGTCAAATAATAAGCCTACAAATGACCCGATTTAATACCAACCCGATCAAATATGCACGACTGTTGGTCTCTGTGTAGCCTACATTACTTCAATACGGCATTAACAAACATTTTAATTTTTGTACCCATCAGTTAGTCCTTTTTAAGTACCATTCAGCTTGATTATCTTAATACCATAAATTTATTTTCTATATTGTATTTGGTATGTTGAAATGATATAGACTAGTCAGGGCATTTTTGGAAGAGGTTTTAATTTTTTTAAATATATTAAAATTTTTAGAATACTTGTCTTTCCCGGTCTCTAAAAATTTTCTGTCCTGATCCTGCACAAGAAGAAATTTTGTGTTAGGTGCGTAATTATGAAAAAAGCTTCAGTTTTTGTGGGCGTATTAAAATTATCGTGTGTAATAATTTTAAAAACTTTAAATGCGAATGTTTCTTGTTATAAAACATTAATAATTTTTTGTGAAACATTATTTTAGCATGAGCTTAAAAGTGATAAATTCTTTCTATAACTTATCAGTGCAAATTGTATATTTATTTCTGTTGTTTAAGTTGTTTGTTTTTCTATTAAATTATTCTTATTCAAACTTTTTTCTGATCGTCAAGTTTAGCGTTTAAATTCATAGGCAACTTTTGAATTGTCGATGATTTTAAATAACACAACTACAATACGTATTATTAGTTATTCGTGTTTTTGTTAAAAATGACAAAGTTTTTTGAAAACTAACAAGAGTAAGAAAAGTTTTAGAATTAAATTGCCCATGAAATAAAGTAATAATTTTTTAAGTCCGCCAACAGTTTAAAAAATTCTGTCACATTTTACATGATCATCATCCCTTATCAACCCTTTAAAATACTTCAATTGAACTCTACTTACTGTCGATTAATGCTCTTGGTGCACTCACACTGTGTACCAAATTTGTTTTCTTTAAGATCAAGTATAACATATTTATTTTTTTTGAAATACGAAACCTCACTTTCGAGGCCTATAACTTCTCAGAGGTGCAGCTTAGTATAAAGGTAAGTTCACCATATTTCGAGTTCCCCTACATGCCCCTGCTCTGTGTCGGTTCTTATATGAAACACCCTGTATATAATAATAATGAAAAATTAATATCATTAATTTAATAATATTAAATTCTAGTTACTTTTGCAGAGTCAGAGACTGACCTTTGGTATTTCATATCATTATCATCTCACCTCATATTTTTAGTAAAACATGTTTTGATAAAACTAATCAGATATGAGATGTGAACTTTGACAGAAAATGAATCATGCTGTATTTTAGTGACCAAACTCTAAAGTGAAAATTTGTCTAGTTATCTAGAAGACTTTGGACACTAGCACTAATAAATACAGTAAAATAAATATTTATTATCAAATGTCTGTTGATTATCACAAGCAAATAAAGTTTAATGTAAATATCACTTTACTAAAGTTTACTGAACTTTAATATATTGTTATGTGAAATACACATGACCAGAGTCTTTCAAGACTTTATATTATTTTAAATTGTTGAAAATATGGCCTATAATGAAAAAACTAGCGAAAAAATTATTTGGAAGTCTTAATGTGGTCACTGTTTCATCTTGATATTTTATTTTTCAATTTAAATTCTCATCTTATTGATTATAAAACAAACCATTTTCAATTAAGTGTACCATTCTCGAGGCAGTACTTCAAAAAAGAGAAAAATATTTTAAATATTCAAGAATGGCAAATATTCAAAACTGGCAAACATTTCTAAGTTTATCTTTGTTCTCTAAAGTAGCTCATTATTTTGTTTATTTGATTGTAGTAAAGTATATGTGAGAATGTAATTTAATATAGTTGTTGCTCATTTTCTTTATTTTTGGTTTGAATGTGACTAATTATTGGATGAAGTTTTTAGTTAAACTTCTATATAGTATGGTTTGTCATTTGTTTTCAGTAATTTTTTCATGTGTAAAATCAACAGTTTTTTACAATGTAAATATTAGCAGATCCTAAGTTTAAAAGAACTTAAATTTTTATTTTAATTTATATTGAAATTCCTATGTCTTACGTTACAAATACGGCCTCATTGAACTAGAAAAAGAAACTTTATTCAAAGTTTCAAGAAGTTATTGCTAAAATAGTCAAGTTGTGCTAGAACATCCTCCTTTACTTAGTTCTCTAAATAACATTGACATAGTCCAAGCCAAAATTAAATTGTAAAACTATACCAAGCTTGTCCTTAAAAAGTACTTGCTTTATTTTTTTAATAGGTACAATCTTTCATTTTTTTTAATTTCCAAATAGCTGAGTATTTATAAAGATTATTGTTTCCATAACGGAGTAGGCTATGCCCTTTGAAAATAGACAACAGAAAAATTATGTCAAACGAAATGACAGCTCTTGCTATGTGCAAAATTAGTGTTATTTGCGTTGCAAAAGTACTTATGAACAAGGAAAATGCTTTTTACGAATGTGGAAGCGTGTGATATGTTGGCAGTTTATGTTTAGAAAATAGCTTCAAGAGAATACGCTTTGCGATACCCTCATAGAATATGCTACTCCAGAGAAGTACTGTAAGAAGACATCGCCGTGCAAGAACAGATGATAATATTATTAATGTGTTGACTTGTGTCCATGTTAATCCCCAAATAAGTGTTAGAGAATTAGTTAGAAACCTGGGAATTTCATATGGAACGCAAGTACTTTTCTCACATAAATGACACTAATGTTGCACAAAGCAAGAGCTGTCACATATCGTTTGACATAATTTTTCATTTGTCTATTTTCATAGGACATAGCCAGCCTCGTTATAAATAAATAGATATTTGGAATTAATAAAAAAATTAAACATTGCAATTATAAAAGAAAATTGAAAATATGTCAAGTACTTTTTTAAAGATATAGTTTTACAATTTAATTTTGGATTGGACTATGTTAATGTTATTTAGAGAATTAAATAAAGGAGGATGTTCTAGCACAACTTCACTATTTTAGCAATAACTTGAAAACGAGAAAAGTTATCGACCTCCGGTTTGTGTGTTTGTTTTTCTTAATAAATGGTTTATCAAGCCATGAAAAAAAAACCTGTATCGTTGCATTTAATTTTTGTAGCAAATAGAAAGAATTACAAAACTTTTCTGATTAGCGTCGTCTGCGCAGGAAAATAATATTATTATTCCCATATCATAAATATAAATTTTATTAATAGTTCTTTAAAATGAGCTGTCGTTTCTTGAAATCTATGGAAGCATTTAGAAATTATGACAATTTCAAAGTTTCAAGATGGCGTCTATCTATTTTGTAATAACAAAAAAAAAAATCAAACAAAACTTATGAAGGGTTTGACCATGTATCTAAAAAGTGTATTTACAACTTAGGTTATATAAGCAAAATTTCGAAAAAACAACAATTTTCTGTTATACGATATCAGTTGCGCTCTCTAGCGGTGAAGTTAAAATCTTGAAAATATTTTAAATCAATTTTTGCCGTATTTGTTAATAGATTTTTTCCCCATAATCGTAGCACGTCTAGTTTCCTATATACAGCCGCTCTATATCATTAATGGATCACCCTGTATATATTTTTTGGTTATTAAAAGTAATAGTAATGGTAATACCACTTTATTTAGCACTTTGCTGTATATATGTACACTCTCACTTAGAACCTACTAAATAACATCCAAAATTTGTTCTACACCACTTAAAGACTATATTTACTATAAGTATTTCTTAACATATTTTTAAAACATGCTATATTTCGAGCATTTTTCACATCCGGGTTTAAACTATTATATTTACTAATACCCTTAAAAAAAATGGAATTTTGTCCAGCTGCTGTATGCACTTTTTGCAAAACTTATGTACTACGTATGTACTATAATTGTGGATATTATCAAAAGTTTCCAATATTTTCTCCAAGTATTGTGGTTCGTTCCCCAATGTAATTTTATGAATAAAGACTAAATACATTAAACTCTAAAAACTTGTCTATATACATCCACTTCAAAATACCCAACATATCCTCACCTCTCGTATATCTGTTGCATCTTAAAATCACCCTCATAGCCCAATTATTTAATTTCTGTAATCGTGCAATTGCACCCCTATTACGTATAGTACAGTAACAAAAGTGAGGTAATATTATGGTATTGAATACTAATTTTCTAATTTTTATTGTTAAATGCCAGCTAACTTTTTTAAGAATTCCTATTTTCTTAGCAATTTTCTTACAAATATAATTTATGTCATTATTAAATTTTAACCTGTTGTCTATTATAACACTAAGATACTTCGTTTCAGCTACTACTTCTACTGTCTCCC